TATATATATATAAAATAACTGAATTTTATATGTATTAGTATTATTTTATTATCCTTTATTCGCTATTTGTTTTGTAGATAATTATACGATAAATTCAACAGATAGATTAACAAATCGTGTAGACTATCTGTTTAACTCGATTGTAGTTTATTGCTCAGTTCATTTTGTGATTATCAGTAAAACAAAATGCAAAATGTCGTAGTTGTGATATTTCGTAGAATAAGTAATTGCCTTTTATAATTATAATTTTAATTCATTTACTAAACGTAGAAATAATTAGACAAGTAAATTAATTGTTTGTAAAATAATACACTTTATATATAAATAAACACGTCAGTATGTTAATAAGCTTATAATATTATAAAAATAAGTTTGTGGATTACTTTATTTTCTATTCTTATATTTTTTTTACAAAAAAGAGACAAACATACTTAGGTCACATTGAATACATGTGTACTTAAATATTGCTTTTTTTTTATCTTTATGGCATGTAAATCTTTGAAAATGTCTTATAAGTTAATAATCAGTAAGGTTCTCTCTTAGCTCTTAAATCTAAAATCAGTTTTCAATTTTAGGCTCAGCAAAAAAGTTTTTAAAATCTTTTTTTTTAAATCAGAATTTTGATATATCATATATAACTCGATTATCTTAAATCGTAAAAGTTCCTTAAAAATCTTAATTTTTTTTAAACATTAAATTACAATAATTTATGTGTAGATAGCTAAAATAATTTGTATATATTAAGATAGATTTCTATATTATAAAAAAATTTACCAACCTAAGAATATTTACAAAAATCAAGTCGTCAATGATATTGATATCAGAACAATAATTTAGCATAAGCGTTGCATACGTAGATGTTACAGAATCATGCATATCTCGCCATCGTATGTAATCGCAATAGTTCAATAACGAAACTGTTATAGACCATCCTAAGACAATCCACATTGTTCTTTTATTTAATTTCTGGTAATCCGTTGTTGTTCCGAGTTTGTTTAATGTATCATCCACAACATCGAGCTTCTTTAAACAGTTTCTAAATTTCTATGCAGAAAATTGAATAAAATTCATAAACATTATCTGTCTAAAAATTTGATATGTCTATAAAATGTAATTACGTTGCTATTTAAAAAATGTTTCATTTTTCTTAAATAATTATTATATTAAATAAAATGAGTTAAATAAA